ATTTAATCTGATTCATAACCACACCTGCTCTTCCCCCCCCCCCCCCCCCCCCCCCCCCCCCACCAACCCCCTAAGCCATGCTAGTGACTAGACCATGCTTCTAACTTGCTTTCCCAACACCCCCATAATGCATTTTCAGGAAATATGATCTTTGGCCCTTTAGTACCTCCATTCCCACCATCCAGGGCCCCAAACACTGTTTAAAGTGATACAGCGACTTGTACTGTGTAAAATTCAGTAAATAACACTGTCCGCAGCACCGCCTTCTCTACACTCGGGTGACCAAATATCCATTAGATGACTACTTTGCTGCTTATCTCTGTTTCCACCTGCAAATATAACCCTGTGTATCCAGTCACTTGCTATTTTAATTCTCCATTTACTCACAACCTTATTTCTCCCTCCTACACTCTGAATGAAGCTCAAGGAACTGCATCCTCATCGTTAAATTTTGAGCCTTTCCAATTCAGCATTGAGTTCAGAAACTTCAAATCACAACCATTTCTGTTTATTTTGATCTGTACCTATTGTTTCCGTTTACAGATCCATCCTCTGTTTACTTGTTCCTTTCTGACCTCTTTTGTCTTACCCCTTCTGCCACTTAATTTCTCCTGTCATTTTTACCCCTCTTCCTTTTAGTTGTTTCTCCCTCCTAACTACCCCACACTACCTTTTCCCTGCTCAAAACGTATTACACCTGTAACCTTTGCTGGTTCTGACAACTGGTGAATGATCTGAAACATGAACCCTGTTGTTGTCTCCCAGATGCTGCCCGACTGATTAATTCCAGTTTTCCTTTCTGCTTTTTGCTTCCAGTTTCTACTTAACTGTCTGCTTTTAATTCAAGTTAGTGACATCTGTCGAGGAGATAGAATTTCAAGTAACTTGGCACAAATTTGTAAGACAGTAAAAAGTTAGAACAGTACCGGAACTATCACTTCTGTAAAGCGTTTGGCCAAGATTATCTTGTATGGCAGATTTAAAGCAAAACTCCACTTATTCTACCATTAATTTCAGCAAGTTGCTAGAAACAGTTTTATGTCTGCTTAATTCAGTTGGTTATAAGGCTAATTTAGTTTTGGTATTGCCTGAAATTTAAGACTCAGTGCAAAATTTTGTCATGTCTGCAGGTAGATTACTTTGTTATTTGGTTGCTCAGTTGCTGTCTCCCTGGATGCTGTCTAATCTGTGAAGATTTTTGAGCATTTTCTGTTTTTTTTTAAATTTCAGGCTTCCAGCATCTGCAGTATTTTGTTTTTATATTAGTGAGGATGTTTGCCCTGGCTGGACAGCCTAGAACTAGAAGTCATGAGCTGCTTCATCAAAATTTTGTGAATCTTTGAGCACCCACAGCCCTTTGGTGTAGAGAATTCTAGTCAGAGAATTTGTTCAAACAATATCCACAAATCTATTGAATTTTATGGAAAACCAAGAAATATGGAGACAAGGCAGAGAAGTGGGGGTTGAGGTAGAGCATTTGCCATCATCTTCCTGAACAGAAGAGCATCTTCTAATGGCCAAATGGCCGCCTGCTCCTGTTTCTTATGTTCCTAAATAAGCCAACACATAGTTACCTTTTACAGCACCAAACAACTCTAAAGCAGTCACATTTGATGCTCCTTAATTATAGTGCACTTTTTTTCCCAAGTTCTTTTCCACCTCAGCAATCAAGACAATACATTTGCTTACCATGCTGCTCCTCTTAAGTGTTCTTTTGCATGTAAATTAATCTTGATTCAGTTTACACTGTCATGCTGAGTGGTACAAATTGCCTATAACAATAAAACAGCACGAGTAAAAGGCAGATTGAATGTGCGCCTCACTTGATAGGATGTTACTGTGTTTTATGCCAATACATTAGCTGAAGATAATGAATCTTCTGTTCTGAAAAGCATGGTATAGTTGATTTTTAATTTTACTTCAATGGAGCAGTACCTTGTCTTTTAAAGAACAAGTTAGGCAAACCGTTAATGACAAGAGTGTTAAGGTTAAATATGAAGCATTGCATTCACTTGTCTGAGTGCTATCCATCTTTCCATTTACAGGAGGTTGACAAAAGTACAGGCTTTGTGCAACATTTCCTTTAATTACATGCTGAGGGAGCAGGCTTTTAACATAAACATGGTTACATTAATTTATTCAGTATTTGCTGTTGAATAGAGCTTGATGGAGGTAGTTTAAATCATGAATGAGTGTAGAGCTTTGCAACAACCTTATGCCTAGCTTGCCTGCAAATAGTGAAGTTTGCTTTGTCTGGTTGAAAGCAGCTTATGAACCATGATTTTTTTTTAACTGATGAGTCACATGAACATGTAGCTTTATTATAATGTAAGCTGAATTTTAAGCTTTGTTTTCAGTGATCGCTCTCTGCATTTAAGAAAGTGAGCGGGTGTATAATTTGCCTTTTCTTAAATCCTGTTAACTTTTTGGGTAAGTGTAACTATGCCCTCAATATCATAATGTAGTTAAACCAAAGTATTTTAATCATTGTTGCAGGATTTTGAACTCTTATAATTTATAATAAATGGAGTGCTTGTTTCCAAACACACTCCAAAAATGGTATTTACTCAACAATTCAAAGCAAAAATAAAACCAAAAAACTTTGGCTACAGAAATCTCTAACAAAAACAAAGTGCTATAGAAACTCGGCAGATCTGGCAGCATCTGTAAGGAGAAGATTTCAAGTCCTATGGCCCTTTGTCAGAAGTTAAAATAGCTGGGAAAGGGTGTTATTTATGCTGATAACAGGGGAAAGTTGTGAGGAAAAGAAGTGAATAGTGTACATAGAGGGAGGGGGAGGCAAACAGGTTAATGATGATAAGCTGAGGGAGAAAGAAATGCTGGGTAGGGTGCTAACAACTATTGCCAACAATGGTTGAAAATCGGTTGGCTATGCTGAGAGTAACCCATACACAACAGAACCTAGGGGTGTGGTAGATAACAAAAGTAAAGGGGGGTGTTCCCATCAAAGCAAAATATTATGAACTGCACTTGAGATTCTTAATTGTTTACTTTTCTATATCGTACTTAGTTTTAGATCCTTGCAATTTTGTTAATTCGTGAATCATAACCCATCAATTATGTCTGTTATCACAAACACATGACCCCATGTGCAGTCTAGAAAGAATAAGAACTCCATTTAATAGAGAAGACTGAATAGTTACATTAATTTCAGTGTGCAGTATCTGAATGGGCATTCTAAAATGCTTAGTAAGTAGCAGTGGATTTAGATTTAAATTAAGCTTCCTACCATTTCATACAAATTTTAATCCTCTGGAAATGTTGTCAGTGACATTTTGTGTCCTCAACCTGTCAGTGATCTTAAATTAACTTAACTGTTAGGTTTGTTTATGTAAGAGACACCATCAGAGTGTCTGGTGGAATTTAAATCCAGTAATTTTTCTCCAATTTGTGTAGAGCTCTATTTTTTTAAAATTACTCATGCAGTAGAACAATAGTTAAAAGCATATCAATAATTATTTGTGGTGAATATTTTTCTCTCTATAATCTCAGTAGATTCGTAATACTTAGCTTCAGTTGTTCATATTCATCCAGAAATTTAAGTGTCGTGCTTTAGAATCAGTTCAAATTATCTATTTCCACTTCACTTCATGATTCCTTGATAGAAAGTGTAGTATCTGGGCCAAGATAGTTTTATAAACTTGTAACAGAATTCACACAAAAGAGCATTATGATGGCAGGTCGCATCATGTCCTAATAGGAAGAATTGAAGCTTACATCCATGCTCGTAATGGTCCTCATTAAAACTTACTTAACATATATTAAAATTTGTTATAAGATCATACAAGTATTTAAAATGGAATATATGGAGAGCAATGAAATGTGGATTTTTATCTCCACTCATGAGATGCACCATAACTCTCACATGGAAATAAAAATCCTATTTCACTGCCAGTCATCGTGTATTCTGTATTTATGATCCGTGGTGTCTGATTGGTTCACATGCTTCAGACACCCTCTTTATTACACAAGGCTGTGTACATGAAAATAAAATATGGAATTTTAAATCCCTTTTGATGGGAAGCATTTTGTGAACATTTGTGTATCAGTTAAATAAGAATTCTTTCTCCCATGTTTAATTTTTTAAGCAGCTTTTCTATTCACCAACTGCTTGTTTATTTTCAAGCTGTTGAAGAATGCCATTCTGAATGTGGTTAGTGTCCAAAATTCTTGACTCCTGAAACACAAAATCAGGAACAGGAGCCAGAATAAAATGAAACAGTTGATTGGCCCAAAAATGTAAGGTGGGGGCAAATGAGAAAGCAGTACTAAAAACACGACCATCTTCATTTGATACTTATTGCATCCATTTGATATGTGATGTCTAAAGGTGATAAAACAAGAACTGTTACACTGGTCTACATTGGTGTTGCACACAATTTTTACTGTGTTGATTTGATGGGCATATCTTTGCACTAGGTAAATGAATGAGACCCCATAAAGTGTATTGATTCATATTAAATAATTATTTTTGCATATTCAGTAGTTTTTTTTTTAATCTTCTCTGTGAAATTAGCATATATTTGCAATGGAATAATGTATCTGGTTTTAGCTGTTCAAATGTAGATTGCAGTTATTAGTAAAATGTTCCAGTGCTGAATAGTGCTGGTTGTATCTTGTATAGTGACTAGTCAGTTTCTCTGATTACTGGTGACCTCTTGTACGTAAAATAAGTTATGCATCAGGAACTGTACAATTCCTGCATTGATTGTAAATAAATAAATAATCATTAACTTTTCGGAGTTAGCTGTTTTATGCTGTTTGTGGCTCATAAAATACTTTTCAATGTTTAAAACTAAATGTTAAGAATAATTAAAGGAAGAAATCTTGTTATTTTTAATTTGACCTAGAAATTCAGTGCAGTTTGTTGTGATTTGTAAATTTGTTCCTAGAAAATAATTTCATGTAGTATTGATGTGAATACACTGACAATGTTTGAACTGAGAATTTATCTAACCACACAAATTGTATATTTACAGGAAAACTGACAGGAATGAATGAAAATTCTACAGCAATCACAGGTTCTCCACAGAATTCCTCCAGCCAGGCGATTGTGCATAAGGTGGTAAACATGGCTAATGTTGGGGTTGTGCCTTCTGGCCAAGATAATATTCACAGGTAACTTAGACGTTTCAGTTTACTCTTTTTAATGTGATTTCTGAAAACACTGGTATAATCATTCTGTGCATATATGGAGGAATTTTCTCTTTAGAAAAAGTTTTATTCCAGCGAGATAAAGAAAGAATCACTTAGCTTGCCTCATTTGAAAGATTCTGATGAGGAAAACTATGAGAGTATATTGCAAGTATTTTATAAACATGTGAATGCCTATATTCAATTTGATTGCAGCTCCCTAACTTTGAGATTTTTGTATTTTTTTTCTTCTTAACTCAGTATCAATGAGATCAGACAGCTTAACTAGCCTGGATGGATGATCACAACATAGATACTAATCCCTTGTTGCTAAAGTATTTAATCATGTGTTGGGTGTGACGCAATATACAGTTACGTTAAAATCAATTATAACTGCAACTCAAATTTGACAAAACAGAATGCTAAATTAAACTGGTATGTTTCTTAAGCAACTAAAATAAAAATGAGTGCAACCACAATCCCTTGTACAAAGGCACCTAGGTGCAGAATTTTGGTACAAAGCAGGAAAATAAAGAAAACCAAGTTTAACAAGTTAAATGGTACAGTCATTCTTACTAAAAAGTAGAAAAACAAAAATACAATTAACAGTTCAACACCACAGAAATGGGTAATTCAAGATTTCAGTTGGTAGACTTATAGTTTCCAGATCCAGAGTGAAACCATCAATGAGACGACAAACTCAGGTTTTAATACTTGTTGAAAAAACAGTTTGTTTTAAAGGAAACCTGTCAATATAGAGTAGAAGATGAGCAAATTAAATCTGTGAAGCTGAATTTTAATTTGTATATCATTATGTAATGCAGAATTCTATAAATTGACATCTGCAAGACATGACAAATGTAGGAATATGTTCTGTATAATGAGTAATGAATCGTTTTAAAAAAACTAAGATACTAAGCTCAACTGAGACAGTTTTGAATGTACCACACATTCAATAAACAAATTATATCTTATTCCAGCGTTCATAGAATATTACTGAAATCATTGGAAAGGATTATAAGAGATAGGATTTATAATCATCTAGAAAGGAATAATTTGATTAGGGATAGTCAACACGGTTTTGTGAAGGGTAGGTCGTGCCTCACAAACCTTATTGAGTTCTTTGAGAAGGTGACCAAACCGGTGGATGAGGGTAAAGCGGTTGATGTGGTGTATATGGATTTCAGTAAAGCGTTTGATAAGGTTCCCCACGGTAGGCTATTGCAGAAAATACGGAGGCATGGGATTGAGGGTGATTTAGCGGTTTGGATCAGAAATTGGCTAGCTGCAAGAAGACAGAGGGTGGTGGTTGATGGGAAATGTTCATCCTGGAGTTCAGTGACTAGTGGTGTACCGCAAGGATCTGTTTTGGGGCCACTGCTGTTTGTCATTCTTATAAATGACCTGGATGAGGGCGTAGAAGGATGGGTTAGTAAATTTGCGGATGACACTAAAGTCGGTGGAGTTGTGGATAGTGTGGAAGGATGTTGCAGGTTACAGAAGGACATAGATAAGCTGCAGAGCTGGGCTGAGAGGTGGCAAATGGAGTTTAATGCGGAAAAGTGAGGTGATTCACTTTGGAAGGAGTAACAGGAATACAGAGTACTGGGCTAATGGTAAGATTCTTGGTAGTGTGGATGAACAGAGAGATCTCTGTGTCCATGTGCATCAATCCCTGAAAGTTGCCACCCAGGTTGATAGGGTTGTTAAGAAGGCTTATGGTGTGTTAGGTTTTATTGGTAGAGGGATTGAGTTTCGGAGCCATGAGGTCATGTTGCAGCTGTACAAAACTCTGGTGCGGCCGCACTTGGAGTATTGCGTACAGTTCTGGTCGCCGCATTATAGGAAGGATGTGAAAGCATTGGAAAGGGTGCAGAGGAGATTTACCAGGATGTTGCCTGGTATGGAGGGAAGGTCTAATGAGGAAAGGCTGAGGGTCTTGAGGCTGTTTTCGTTAGAGAGAAGAAGGTTAAGAGGTGACTTGATAGAGACATACAAGATGATCAGAGGTTTAGATAGGGTGGACAGCGAGAGCCTTTTTCCTCGGATGGTGATGGCTAGCACGAGGGGACATAGCTTTAAATTGAGGGGTGATAGATGTAGGACAGATGTCAGAGGTAGGTTCTTTACTCAGTAGTAAGGGCGTGGAATGCCCTGCCTGCAACAGTAGTAGACTCGCCAACTTTAAGGGCATTTAAATGGTCATTGAATAAACATGGATGATAATGGAATAGTGTAGGTTAGATGGGCTTCAGATTGGTTTCACAGGTCGGCGCAACATCGAGGGCCGAAGGGCCTGTACTGCGCTGTAATGTTCTATTACATTCACAATAGCAATATTAAATGGAAAAGTGCTGCATTAGTAATTTGATTAATTTCCATGTTTACCCATCACATTTTTGATGGCTTCCATCACCCTGAACTTTGGTAAACCAACTTGAGTTTTCTTCCACAGTCCAAAGATATGCAAGTTAGGTGGATTGACCATGCCAAATTGTACCATAGTGTCCAGGGATGTGTAGACTAGGTGGATTAGCCATGGTAAATGCGGGATCACAGATAAGGTGAGTGGCTGGGGCTGAGTGGAATGCACTTCAGAGGATCAGTGCAGACTTGATGGGCTGAATGGGATCTTTCCACACAATAGGAATTCTGTGTTTATAACTTCATGTGGTTTAATTTCCCCATGGATCCTAAAATCCAATTTTCATCCATCTTCTGTGGATATGAATAAGAGACATTCTCATTTACATGGATTTAGTCAATTAACAATATTTAATGCAGGATTCTGGCAAAAGGCAGCGTGTTCAGTTCTAATTTTAAATCTAGCGCCCTTAAATGTGCATTTTTTGATCCAGAGTTCAAGCCTACATTCTCCTTCCTTCCAGAATCACCAGTCCTCCTCTGCTTTTCCCAGGTCATTTCATTGGCATTTTACTGCAGCATTGCCTGATCCCAGCCCTCACTTTAGATAGTTAGGTTTATTCTGCTACTAACAACAATACTAAGATCCTTGGGGTATCTTCCTTGACAGCCACCTCTGGATGTTCCCTCCTCCTCATGCCACTCTTCCAGTCATAGATTCTGTCTCCAGAAGAGCAGCAAAAGCAGGAGGCTGGGACCCAGTTAGTATAGGAAAGACAAAACCTGTGACTGGAAATAGTAGCTTCTCACTGATTTGGTCTCGGCCACACTAACTTCTTCTCCAATCAAACTCTGCATTATTTTTTCTCTCATTAACGCCTGTGCCTACAATTGTTGGAACTATAGAGGAGCAATATGGTAAGTTGGTGTGCACAAAGGCAGCTTTTGTTGAACCTTTCACCTTCATCCTCAAATTTTTGAGGAGCTGACCTGGCTGGAGTTGAGAATTGTTCTTTATGACCCTTCATGCTGGTGTGAATATTGAATGTAGACAATGTGAAATATAATAATGGTTTTTGGAACTAGATAAACTGTTGGTACTTGTCTTTTGTGTCATATAAAAATGTCCATTTGGGTGTGCTACCAGATGACACTTCAGGATGGGGGAATGCATCATAATGGGAGCTTTTCCTTTAGTGGAGGATGGGAAAATTTATTTCCCATCAACTTGACAACTGTATAATGATGGCATGAATTTCAAAGACTTTGAACATGTGTGGAAGTCATCAATAAAGTAATGTACTTCTGCAGTTTTATTTGTCATCTGAACATTATGTCCTGCTGCCTGCCTTTTTAAAAAAAAAAAAAAATCCTGCCTATGTTGTATCCACTTTTATTTTCTGTGTTTGGGCACTGATTATCACTTAATGAACTTAGAACATTGATGACGGGAGATACACCAACTACATGGTGTATATCAACAATGCAAATATTAATTACTGTGGAAAAGTGTGGATGTGTATAAATGTTCTCCTGTGGTAGTGTGCCTGTCTAGGTTCAAGTACAACCTGCCCTGAGAATCTGACATGTCTGAACAGATTAATTAAAAATAATATTTCCCTTTATTGTATGTCAATTGTATTTAACTATATGCAGATGGAGGTATTAATTGGTGTTTTATTAAACCCATTTATTTTTTATGACAGCTTTCAATCTCCTAATATGTCAGTTTGTACCATAATGGTCAACTCTGTTAAGCATCACCTGGTGTGGCTCAGGAATTTGGTATTTTGCAGCCTCCACGTGTACTGCAGAAGAAAACCATCATCTGAGAAGGTGCATGATTCAGTCCATTTACTCTAGGTCCAATTCTCAGCTAGCTGAACTTTTCATCGCTGCTGACCTCCTACCAATGCCCTTCCAAAACAGCCGGCCTTAAGATATCACAGCCTCAAGATATCACGGCCTCAGTGACTGTCTCCTGTTTTCAATGTCTGCCTTTTTCATACCTAGATTGTAGGTATGCTTGTAGAAGTGATATGGATACCAAGGAGGTTGTGACCCATGCCCAGTTCACCATACAGGAGATCACTGAGTGTACAGCTGATATCCATGCAGTTAATGTAGCATGAGTGAACAGAGGCCATTACCTTAGTAATGGGAAAATGCTGATGAATTAGAATACTCCTGGATTTATGAGTTGCTGAACTTGGCCAGTCTGAGATGTTGAGAGTATTGTTTGAGACTTCACAGTTCAATGTTCTCAACCGTGTAGCTGCTGTTCCATGTTCCTATTTAGCTTGGACTGAAAAAGTCAGCTTTTGGGAGGCATGTTTTGATTTCAGCATGCAGTGAAAGATTGGCAATTGTGAAGCCTAGATATGTGATGCCTTCAACAAACACCTGCCTCCACATTATTAATGCTGATAGATGGCAGTATGGAAACATCCTGGACCACGGCTCTAGTCTTCCTAATGCAATAACCAAATCAAACTCTGTACAAGTGTAAGAAAATCTGTCCTTTTGCCACTGCAGGTGTTCTTTGATGTGGAATGTTAATCTAACATTGTCAGCCAGGTCCTTGCTCTCTAATGGGGACTTGGCACACCTTTTTGGTTTTG